ACATTTTGTGCATTTACCAGAACTTCTTGCATTGTGATCACTTTGAATTTTTGATTAAATTTCCAGTCCTATATTTCTGTGTCACTAAGCCCCTGAAACTCAGGTAAAAGAAAGGGTTTTTTCATATACTGGGAAGTCTAGGAAAACCAGAATGACTGATTTCTTCATACAGTGAAACTCATCAGTCTTGGTACGAGATACTGGAGGGCTCAGATGATTTTGGTGAGCAGGAAGTACTAGCAAGGAAAGAATAGAGCTGTCTGATGCAGTGGCCACAGCAGGGCTGCTCCCTCCACACAGTGCCAGCAACAAAGACTAAACTAACTTCCCATGAAAGATCTAGGTGGGGATTTCCTCCTGCGCTCCTATTTTCATCTGCATCTCTAGCACCTGTGCATCAGAGAAGAGTTTATTTTCGCTCACTCAGTGGCTGAGTTTGCTTCATGGTTTCCATCTAAGACCTGTTGTTCAACTGCCTGTAACACAGGCAAATTCTGATCACCCAGGTCAGGTTTTTCTGTGATAAGGATGTCTTGAGCTGGTTGGTTTACCATCTCACTCTCAGTGTGGTGCAATTCAGACACCGACCAGGCACAAGTTATACAGTGAAACACTTTTCCAATCCTGGTGAAAGAAAACACTCTGAGGTGCTCCAAAACCTGCAAGGTTTGAAGGTGAGGTAAAGCAGGAACACTTGCCAAGAGAAAGTAAAAGTCTGTGAGCAGCCAGTGCTGCTTAGCTGAAGACCCAGGGGACTGAAGCTCAGTGGCTCCAACCATGGACTGCCTCATCAGCCTCCCTTGTTCTGATCACAAAACCAGCAGAAAATTACTTGCTGTCACTGCTGAACTAGTTTTTCATCATCTCACCAAGCTCAGTTGTCATAGGGAATGGTCAAGCTGAAACCAGTGCCAACCTAAGAAAAATGCCAGGAAAAGAAGAGGGAGAAAGCAGGCTAACTTTTGATATGAAGTACAAGCAATTTCCCTTGATTAGGGCATCTAGGTTGTGGACTAACCTTTAGGGTGAAGAAGAAGAGCCTAGTATATGTTAGAATAAACATGTAGGCAGAACAGTGACAATGTGAAAAATAGCTTTTTCAGGCTACACAGCTACTCATCACGTTGCCACTGCTCTGTCTACATATTTCAGGCTTCATAGCCTGAAAGCAAGCACCTGGAGAGCGAGCTCTAGTTACAGCTGTCTGGAAGATGATGAGGGCAAATATTTCTGTTTAATGAGCATGCATATTCATTTGCTCATTTAGGAGAAAGAAGTCATAAAGGAAGGCAATAAGCAGAAACAAAACCAGAAACTGCTGTGGTTCACCAAATGGTACCTGTCTGTAGCTTCTACAGTGACCTCATGCTTCATGAAGAGGTGCAACAAAGCACTGGTGTGTCAGCACGTATCAAGGACAAGGAATAAGCCTTGATGTCCTTGATGTCCACTGATGTCACCTCCAGAAAGCACACATCAGGGCATGGAGATTCAACATGCCAAAACACAGAGACACTGACAGAGGACAAAAAGGAGGCAGGTTGAGGTGCTGAACACCAAGTCCACAGCACACCTGTGATATGTTGGGGGCAGCAGTTAGTAGCTGACATATCCTTTCAAACACTTGCTCAATTTGTCTCCAAAAAAAGATCAGCTCAGCAAAAAACAACCCTGTTCTGTGACAAACATTTCACCTCATGTGAACTTACGAAATTTTGTTAGCCTGAAGACTAAATGAGGACCACAGGCAGGACAATATATATATAATACATACATATATATATCTAGGGAAGGCTGGCAAGGAAACAAATAAACAGGTTCTAATTTTCTCCTGCAATACTAAGCAGCTTTCATACCACAGGAGACTAGAAAGGTTGAGTTACCCTGACGTCAGTACAGTCGTTATTGGCTCAGGTTTTTGGCTTGTGTACAAGACTAACATTCTTACTCTTGGGAAGGTATTACTCTAGCACAGAAGTGGGAAAGAAGCTTTAATGTGTTGTCCCTCTTTGTATCCTAATCCAAGTGTCTGAATTTCAGAACATCTGGAGACAAACCATGGTGAGCACATTGTCACACTGTCAGGAAGGCTAATGAACAACCTCATTATAATTAAAGGTGTCCTCAGATGCTCTAAAATGAAAAACCATACAAAACCACGTATGTAGTCCACATACATGCACTACCTAGAGAGTGAAGTATTCCATATTTCTTCCTGTAAAGCAATTTGACATTCTTCATGCCCATACTGACTACTGTGGAGACCTCTTGCTACAGACGACTCAGTGATTTGGGGGAAATTATCTTGCAACAGGCCAATACATCTGAGTGCTAGAGAGCAAATTACAGGCTCTTAATGTTTTCCCAAATATTTTCACATATGCTCTGTTATTATTTATATTGCATTACAGACTATCGTGAGCCATTTGACTTTAACAAGAGGTGACTTAAATTGTATGCTGTAGTTCGGAGTGCATTCATCCAAGGCGACGTCGGCAGCAATAACAAAACACACTGTGCTCTGCCTAGTGAGTGTGTTTTCCTGAGGTCAGTGGGAGCTCAGGCTGCTGAGGACTTCACATACTTGACTCTTTAAGGGCTTACCTCAGGAGCCCTTTGACATACCTTGAACCTGTTCGGATCACCACGGTCCTAAATTCTCCCAAGGATCTGAAACAACACACAGCACCCTTCAATCCCGTTGCACCTGATTATTAGGGACAGATTGCTGTGAGACAGAGATGACCCTTTAAGTAAGCAGTGAATGGGAGATGAAAACTAGTGGGATAATGCGCAGCCCTGGCTGAGTGAGAGTTGTTAGCTGTGGCACCAGGTCCGAACCAGCACTGGACCAGATGAATTCGGTGCCTTGTTGAACTAGGCTATGTTTAACATACAAAAGTGATACATTGCCATCAGTGACATTTGACTGGTGACACTTTCAGGAGAGTCCTCTGTCTGACTGCTGCTAGCTGGAAATACACCCACTCAAATATGTGGAGATGTAGGTATGTGTTTCAAGAAACTGCAGAAAACATCTGTGAAGGGCTTCTCTTTTTATAGAGCATGTTATTAACAAAGCCTAAAATCCCAGTTGCATTTTTACCCTATTATTCCGACTGTTTCCTGTCCTAACTTCTCTGCTTACTTTTAGAAACTATTGATACTTGTTTTGAATAGCAGAAAGACCTACATTTCACTAGTACTTGAAAACAATTCAAATACAGCAGAATTTTGGTAAAATTCAGAAATAATTGTTTTAAGTGTTTTAACTGCTAGGATTTGGTAGCAGAAGCACTGCTGTAAATCAATAACTGTGTTTAAGCTTTTAGGCATTTTGTTATTCTGTGGACAGTAAAACAATTCATAAGGCAAGAGTACATAAACCCAGGATTTTTTTACAGGTGCAGATCCTTATAGCCTAAAATCTTTGATACAAGATTCTTCTTTTTTCTTTCTGAAATGGCATCTGCCACTTCAAAAGGGTGAAACATATTGCACATGGGAATTTGCAAGCAGTCTGCATACAAAGAGAATTTTTGTTCTTTTTACATTTTCACACCAAACACCCAGAAGAAACCTACCTGCTTTGCAGTATGTCAGAGAAGCACTTAGATCCAAAGAGTATATTTTTCCTAACTCTGGGACTGAGATGGGAATCCAGGCAGAAAATGGGAATCTGAGGCAAAGGCTGTACATGCCACATAAAAATAGTGCCACGCAATTATCCAAGTGCAACAATTCTCAACCCCCAATTAGTATTGCACACAGCCCTGAATCACATCCCATATTAATATATTAATATCTCAAAGTCACTTGTAATATTTTTTTTTACCTGACCATTTAACATCCCCTCTCTTTGGGTTTCTCCAGTGTGTATTTTATTCTGGACTGAAATTACATATCACTGGGTACAGCTGCAAGACTACAAATCTGGTCAGTACAACTAGAATAAGCAAAAGTAGGCATGGCTTAAAAAACCCACACTGTCACACAGCTAATCCTTTTTAGCAGGTAGGCAAAAATCAAAGCATCTCATAAATATGAAGCCTAGACTGGCTGAAGAAATTCTAGCAGTTTCAACATGAGACATGCAAGAATGAGGATGCATATTCACTTATTAAGAAAAGTGCTTCTATCTGACCACTTTCCTGCGGGAAGGGAGAGAAAAAGAGTAAATTATAGTTTTTTTTAAGAATATTGTAACAGTTGTTCCCCCCATCCCCCAACTGATCTTCAAATTGTCCCTTTATTCTCCCCAAATTTGTAGCAAGTTTATATTTTATTAATATATTTTTCCAGATTTGCTTGGCATAAAGAGGACTGATGCAAAAAGGATAGACTAGATCTCTGCGTAATTTAAATGACTGCAATTTTGTCACCTGCAATGTAATTAATCTGAATTATAGCAGCTGGGCAATTGACTGAAATTGGGTAGACCTGCCCCTCGGAAAATAACCTCTGATACCTCCCTCTCACCAGGGCAAAGGTGTTTGCCTGGAAGCTGTCGCAGCTCTGTGAGAGATCTTAATTTCGGAGCAACTTTCCACCCCTCCATGCACGCCCCACGAGGGGAGCGGGATGAGCGGGCTTTGCCCGGGCTCCAGGAGGGCTGCGGAGATGGTGTCTGCGCCGCTGGAAGGACGCGAGCATCCCGGGACACAGCCGCATCCCGCGAAGGCTCAGCGCGGCACCCTCACCCCCGCGGGGACCGGCTTCTGGGCGGCCGCTCAGCGGCCACCGCGACACCTCACCCGGCGGCTCCGGGGCACGCCAGGGGCGGACTGTCCGCCGAGCTCCGGCCGCTTCCCCGCCCGCGTCCCCTCCCCCTGGCGGGGCGGGAGCGGGGCCGGGCCGGGGGGAGGAGCAGCCGGAGCCGGGGCCGGGGCCGGATCGCGGCGGCTCCAGCGGAGCCCCCGAAGTTTGCGCTGCCGGCGGAGGCGGCTCTGGGCCCTCGTCCCGCCGCTTCCGGGGCCCCGCCGGGCGGAGCGGGCCGGGCCGGGAAAGGGGGCGGGAGCGGCCGCCGGCAGTGAGCCGAGCCGAGATGAAGAAGCCGGACGGGAAGGTGGTGCTGCTGGGGGACATGAACGTGGGCAAGACCTCCTTGCTGCACCGCTACATGGAGCGGCGCTTCCAGGAGACGGTCAGCACGGTCGGCGGAGCCTTCTACCTGAAGCAGTGGGGGCCGTACAACATCTCCATCTGGGACACCGCAGGTGAGCGGGACCCCGGCACGGGGGGCAGCACGGTGGGGCCGGGGGTCCGGCGCGGGGCTCCCGGCGTTTCCCGGCGGAACGGGGCTCCCCGAAACCCGCGGGGTGTTTGCTGGCCGGCTGCCCCTCTCCTCCGGCGCTGCCCGCGGCACCCTCCATGCCTTGGCATGCGTAGGGCTTTCTTTTCCCTAGTTTTGGCTCGGCCCTAGTGTACGAGCTGCTGGTGAGAAAGGTTGCGGTGGGTGACCTCGCTCGGGACAGCTCGGCTTTCCGAGAAGCGGCGGGCAGGAGATGGGGACGCGCCCCCCGCCGTGCCCCGGAGGCGGCGGCCGGCGCCGGGAGCCCTGCCCCGCTGCCTGTCGCCTTCTCTCGGCACCACGCTGGAATCAGTCCCCTGAATCATAGGGTTTGGCGGTAGGACAGAGTGTGAAAAGAGTCACGATTTTGACGGGCCGTAAGGGGCCTCACAACTGCTCATCTCTGGTGTTTTTGGAATTCATTTGCTAAACGTGGATGTACAGGGAAGATTGTGGTGCCTTGTCGCTTTCTTTTACCCTAATAGATGGCTACTGGTAACAAGTTCAGTCATGAATTAGAGAGGTTACAGCTTCTCTTCATCCCTTTTCGTTATGTACTGTTGAGTTTGAGATCAGCTGGTGTCAGACTCGGACTTCCAAACGCGTGCTGCTTGTCAGCCCTTCGGACGTGGCGTTCCCCTCCACCGCGGCTGTAGGCGGCTGGTGCACAAAGAGCATGGGCTGCCGGCAGCTCCTGGCCGGGATAGCAGCAAGGGGCTGTCTGTCCCACGCTTGTGGCAGGCAGCATCTCCGGGATGCAGCGTGGGATTGTGGTTTGGAGGAGGTGGGGGGAGCACGGACTGGAGAAGTGGTTTGTGGTCTTAGTCATATGAATGTCTTGCTCTTGCTTGTGAAGTCAGGAAGCTCCCCTCTGTCATGTAAAGGTCCTGTAAAATTAAGTCAGTGGGCGCTCTTGCCTTTAAGCTGTTCTTTGCAAATATAATCATGTTCATTATTTTCTTTTTGTTCTCGTGATTAGCTGGATTTTTAAAACTGGCTAGTGGCAACGTGAAGAACGCAGTTTACATGTCCTTGTGGAGCTGCAGCATCGTGCAATGTTCCAGTTTCTTCTTGATGAAATTTGGGAGGGAAGTTCATTTGCTGTGTCACTTCTTGTCACCATCTAGTCCAAAATGGCTTTTCCTGTGTCAGGAATTGAGGGGGAGGAAGGGGGGAAATGAAACTGCCAAAAAGTTATACAGAAACACTTTAAATGCTTTTGGGAAGTGTGGGGAGGAGGTGTTTAAGAGCTTTTTCTTGCATTTAGTAATCTGTTACTATCATGCAAGCTTTCTACCAGTAGCTCTGTTTTAAATATGCTTTCTATGTCATTTGCAGTATTTTTTTTTTTTAATCTACTTTCATTTTGGAATGATGTGTTTTACTATGAGGAGTCTCTTGTGGGCAGTTGCTGCTTGTTTCTAATAAGCCAGACCCCCATGGGTGATTAACAGTGGGCTTTATTTCAGCAGAAAAACTATGTGTCTTGGTGAGATTGTTGCTTGGTAATTTCCATTATACCCTTCTATTTTTATTTTTTTTATCATTCATAATAAAATAAGTTCCTCCAAGGCTTGTCTGCTGGTTCTAGAGTTCTTTTTGTCAGTCATTTATTCTTATTGTGGTATTTTATTCAGTGTTAATTGAGGAATCAGGTTCCAGTTGTATGTGGAATCTGGGAAGCTCCAGAGGTGGAATCTCCCTGTGCCTGGTGGAGCAGGTGATATCTGTCTCAGGGCAGTGCAAGTGTTCAGAGCTCAACAATTGCTTTCCCCAGTGGCCACAATTCCCTCTGCACCCTGGAGCAGGGCTGCTGCCAATGCCAGTGCATAGCTCTGCAGTAGAAGTTCCTGCTGCTCAGCAGGACTTGTGGAGCAGAACTGCTGGAGCTGTATTTGCAGAGCAGCAGTTGGAAAGTGTTGCTGTATTGTACCTGGCTGGCATAACACGTCTTCCTCATTCTTTGTTGTTGGAGTTAGCACTGGGTCTGGCTCTCCTCTCTCTTGTGTTTCAGGGGCAGGCAAGGGCTCTTGCACCATCTCCCTGTTGACTTGTGCTCTTGCAGAATGATGGAAGTTGCCAAAACTGGGATAGACTGTTGAGGCTTGTAGGTTTTCGTTTATTAACAGCTCTCATTAATTTTGGGAGAAATAGAAGCTCTCAGGGCACATATGTGCTTTCTGCTGTCCTGGTGAAGAAGTATGGGACCTTGTTGACACTGTAACTCTGGTGTTAAGTCACAAGGGGATTCAGAATTGTTTGCTATTTATTTGTTTATTGGTGCTGTTTATTTATTATTTTTATTTTGTGTGGACCTTATGCTTTTGCTGGCCTCAGTGGGTCTGGAGACCTTGGTTTGTGCCTCTTATCTCTCTGCAGTCTCACTGTCTTATCTCTACCAGGTGGGTACCAAGTAAGCTTGGAATGTGTAGTAAGGAGTTTAAAATTTAGCTTTTTTGTCTGTTTATTAACCTGGTGTTGCTAACTACTGAATTCTTGTGAAGCAGTTATAGGGCTAGCAAATACTGATGCATTATTTTATTTAATTATGTGTGTGTAGGTATATAGGGAAATCCAGCAACAGTCTTCCAGGAGATTTAAAATTCTTTAGCGCAGCAATGACAAGAGCATGCATCAAAGTTTGCACACGTCCCACCTACCTAAATACTGAGTGGCAGCTCAGGATGTCTGTCTTAATACCTCAGTAGCACTTTATACAATGTATGATGTAGAAGTATGGAAGATTTGGCCTAGAAAAATTAGGGTATGCATGGGTAGTAGCTATTATACTAGTTCAATACATAATTAAACGAGGTAAATGGGAATATATCTTGTTTTTTAATTTTCTCCATTCACATTATATTTAGTATGTGAATGTATGTTTATTTTTGTTGTTGCTTATGACCATTATTTTTGGGACTTCCATAGAGGTCCCCTAAGTTTTACTTGCAGTTCAGATCGTATGGTTATTTGTTTTTCTGGTATGGGGTAGGCATTTGGCTGTAACAACGCAAGCTTCAATACACTGAAGCTTCATTCTTGTAATAAAAAGTGATTTTTGTGCACACTTAGATAACCTCAGTGATTGATGAGAATATCTGCAGTAGTGGTGATGGATCAAAAGTTAAGTATGCATGGATGCTAGTGCTAGACAAGTCTTATTGCTGATTTTCTGAGTTATTTAAAATGTGTGTCATTTTCACTAATCACTCTGTTGATTTTGCATTACTTCCTGCTCTGAATTTAGAAAAATCTCGTTTTCCTAAGAAGAATTAAATTTGCTTACCAAAGTGATTAAAATGTGCATTTCTGTGTTATCTGTAATGAAACCACTGTGCACACCTGACCTGTTGTACCAAGTTAGATTTGAAGTGTAAATCAGTTATTCTAGGGAGGACTCTTAGCTGTACATTCACACCCCTCCTTATCTTGGAAAAATCAGCTGCTTAGTCTAGTCAAAATCTTTCATAATCCCTGTAATAGGGGTGTGTAGAAGTTGTCAGACTTGATTGTTTTTTCATGTAAATGCTCATGGCAAATACTTCAACATTTCCTGTTTTCTAATTTGATGTTTATGAGAGAAGTTATTTGAAAGTTGCATTCAAGTCAAGGAAACAAATAAGCCACAGATGGAGGGATACTTGTGAGAAGTATCATATGCTTACCATGTTTCAAAGCTCTCCTTTTCCTAGCCATCTGCTTTTGACTGTTTCTCCATTGTCAGAGCCTTGGATAGACAGTCTTGTGTCTGACCTTGTATGGCTGCTATTATATTTGTGGTTGATGCATAGAATTATTTAGTTCTTATATTCTGTTGCGACAAATTACATTTATTTGTTTTCTCTTTGGATCAGTTAATTCAAAGGAACTAAAAAAATCTGTAAACTATATGAAAAGAAATAACTGTACACTTCTAGCATGTTTTAGTAACTGTACACTTCTAGCATGTTTTAAAGAACTGGTTTACTGGATAGAGTCTTAGTCACTAAAGCATTTGAGTACATGCTTTGAGACCTTTGCAATATTTTTTTTGAAATAATATTTTTCTGAAACAAGGAAAGTAAGCAACAACAGGGAGAAGAACTTCTTCCTCACACAAAAGGATTGTGGGTTGGATGTCAAAGCTATATATATGTATGTGTGTGTATATACAGATGTGTGTATATATATATATGTTTTCTAGGCAGTGCTGACCTCAGCTGCAGAGTAAATTAAACTTCCTGCTGGGTGCTGTGGCATGTAGCTTAGAGCTGGTGTGTAATCTTTTATGTCTGGCAGCACAAGACCTCCTGAAGTTTTGAGGGTCTTTGTCCTATTCCACCATTAAACCTAGAATAATGTGTGGTGGCTACAGCTAATGATATTGTAGGAGTCTTTTGGTTGTTCAGGCATGTTTTCTGATACCTTGATATTTCAAAGGGTAAAATCTTTTCTGTATGTTAGATTTCAGTCTTGACGTTTGTTCATCTGACAGATAAGTTGTTTCTTAGCCCCAGCAGCAAGGTTTCTTAGTTATTAGTGGTCATGTCCCCTGTATTGCTGGAGTAGTATTAGAGCAGTCAACTGGTAAATGAATCGCCAGTATTTTAGAAAGTTCACATCAGGATCCTCTTAATTCTATTTTAAGAGGCTGAGTTCTGAGTTTGACAGCAGATATTAATTTAGCATTATAATGGGGAAACATAAAGGTTTATGGAAAGCAAACTTTCCTTCTTTTCCTTCTCATCTTGAGCTGTCTGTCAACAAGGACTGACTTTTTTTTTTTCTGTGAATACTCAGCTATCGGTTCATATTTTTACATCTTTCACCCATTAATTTTTACCTGCACATATATAGATATTATTTTTTTATTTTTTTATTTTTTTAACTTGTCAGAGCTTGTATAGTTGGGGACAAAGGAGACAAGTATAGCCTAGAAAAGGCTCT